TTTTTATTATAAATGTTATTTTTCATAGCAAGTAAAAGTTATTGCACAGAACAGGGAGCTCTACAGTAATTTTGTACTGTAATTACAAGTCACCAGCAACACTCATATCTACATTTTTGAGCAATCTGAGAAAGGCAGTAGGTCTTATGAGCTCAAAATTAAGAGTGGGTAGATTGGATTAGCACTAATACAACGTGTTGATGAGTATTGGATATGGCAGATGCTGATTCAGATCAGTGAATGACTTTGGGTGAGTCACTATTTTAGACCAACTTAACTTTCAAACCTGTTGCAGGGTAGAATGAAAGAGAACTTCCATATATGTCATCTTGAGTTGTTACAAAAAAAAGCTGGATATAATTGCAGTAAATAAAATAAAAAATAATGCATCCTAGTAAATACTTTGATAAATTATAATCTGATTCACCATAAGTAAGGCTCACTTTAGCCCTATGACAGCATTGTTTTCTCATACAATAGCAGAGGAGTTCTTAAATCTTCCAGTAACTGCTTGTCTGTAAAAATTCAAAAAGTATATAAAATATTTTATATGTACTATTGAGTTTTGCCAAAATTATATTTTCAATTTGGATATTTCTATAGATTTTTGGAGCAGAATCATAAGAAATTACAAACATCTAACTGAAAATTAATGGGGGATAGAAAATGAAAATATAGTATTTTCAATAACACCCACATGAAAATAAGTAAATTTGAAATCTTATTTCCAAGCAAATAATAATAATAATAATAATAATAATAATAATAATAATAATAATAATAATAATAATAATAATAATAATAATAATAATAATAATAATAAAGTTGGAAGGGACCTTGGAGGTCATCTAGTCCAACCCCCTGCTCAGGCAGGAATCCCTATACCATTTCGGACAAATGGCTGTCCAGTCTCTTTTTAAAAACTTCCAGTGTTGGAGCATTCACCGCTTCTGGAGGCAGGTTGTTCCATTGGTTAATTGTTCTAACTGTCAGGAAGTTTCTCCTTAGTTCTAGGTTGCTTCTCTCCTTGATTAGTTTCCACCCGTTGCTTCTTGTCCTGCCTTCAGGCGCTTTGGAAAATAGCTTGACTCCCTCTTCTTTGTGGCAGCCCCTGAGATATTAGAACACTGCTATCATGTCCCCCCTCGTCCTTCTCTTCATTAAACTAGACATATCCAATTCCAGCAGCTGTTCCTTATATGCTTTAGCCTCCAGTCCCCTAATCATCTTTGTTGCTCTTCTCTGTACTCTTTCTAGAGTCTCAACATCTTTTTTACATCGCGGTGACCAAAACTGGATGCAGTATTCCAAGTGTGGCATTACCAAGGCATTGTAAAGTGGTATTAATACTTCACGTGATCTTGATTCTATCCCTGTGTTAATGCAGCCTAGCACTATGTTGGCCTTTTTGGCAGCAAGTGATTGTTTGGTTCATGTTGCTTTATGCCAAAAAGAGAGACAAAGAGCTATTTATATCTTAGGTATTCAAATTTTGTTCCTTTTTAATAGAATGTTTATTAAATGTAGCCAGTTGAGGGATGAAACCAGTCATTTTGGTTATTTTTTTGAAGTGATATATGATAGAAAATGTTGAATTTTGTAAAAGGCGAAAGATTTATACGATCTGAAGAGAAACCAGAGTATAATTATTAGATAATTATTTACAACAAGCAAATTTACCTTGTCTTTCTGAGGATCAAAAAGGATTGATGAATGGTATGATTTCATTGGAAGAGATTGCAGAGGCACTTAAGCAATTGAAGGTTGGTAAGGCCCCTGGTACAGATGGGTTTACTGCAATTTACTATAAAAAACTCTCGGAAGAAATGTTAGAACCCCTGAGATGTCTGTTTAATGATATTCTAATGGGGGGACAGATACCACCATCTTGGAGGTGTGCATTTATTTCACTTATACCGAAGGAGGATCAAGACACGACCCAGCCTAAAAATTATAGACCAATATCTTTATTGAATACGGATTACAAGATTTTTGCAAAAATATTAGCCAATAGACTAATGCAAGTAATGAAACAGAT